CACAAATTATTCCTTCCTATACAACTGCAAACCACAGAGGTTCCATTGTAACAACTCCAGGTTCAACTTCTTCTACTGTACCACCACCTCCACCACCACCACCACCACAACAACCACTTCCACCATATGCCTTTGCACCTTCAACTTATACTCATTACAGTAATCCTAATCAGCAACAGATGAACTCTCCAGTTACTTCTAATTTTTCGCAATACTACTATTATCAACAACAAGGTGTTCAACCACAACCAATACCACATGGTGACCCATCATACTATAATCCACAACATCAACAACTCCCACAAGGTTATTATTATATGAACCAACCACCACCACCACCACCCCAACAACAAAATTTTCAAAATCCACACGTTCTCATAGGTCCTGGTCAATCATTACCAATGTATGATGAAAACAATGCTTTGATAAATAAAAGAAGAATAATCAAACGAAGAACAAGGACAGGTTGTTTAACTTGTAGAAAAAGAAGAATTAAATGTGATGAAAGAAAACCAACTTGTTTTAATTGTGAAAGAAGTAAAAAAGTATGTTTAGGTTATCAAGATTTACTGAATCTACAACCAAGGAAACGAAATAGAGATACTAGTTTAGATTTACCTAAAGATGATCAAAATGAACAACAAATGAAACATATAAGAAGTAACAATGTTAATAATGGTATTGAAAGAAGAAATTATGAAATGATGATGGTTCCTGCTGGATATCAAGAAATGGTTAATAATAGTAATACTAATAAAAATCATTCTTCAGGAATATTACCTCCTAATGGTCCTCCTCCTCCTCATCATCATCCCATTCCTATTTCTGATCAACAACAACAACAACAACAGCCGGTGCCAGTTCCAGTACAACATCTAAATCCTTGTTATGTTACTACAAATCCTGCTCCAAGAGTGGCAGTTTCTGATTTACTCAAATAATGAACTATATATATATATATGTGTATGTATTTAAAAATTAACGATATTATTTTTATACCAGAGGTGTAAATCCGATGAAGCTGTACAATCGGGATAAAATAAAGAAAACAACGAGGCAGTATATTACAGGTTAACGATGGTAATTCAACAAAGATCTTTGACTTGGTACAAGGAGTATGGAAATATTGAATACTATCACAAACTGTTTATCCGTTTCGTTATGTCGTTCAATAATTCTCATTCAATTCAGTGTACTATAAAAACATGACCACGAAACTATTTAACCATGTATAGCCAATATTTCCGGCATACCTAACCTAGCCTAACATGACTACAAGGGACTTTTCCCATCGGTTATTAATATTGTTTTTTTTTTTTACCGGTTTGTAGATTATATCATCGTGAAATGATCTGCATTCCCTTAATATTACTAAATCACATATTTCGTTCTATTTTGATTTCGGGTTCAATTCTTGTAAGAAGGGCTCATAACTAGGGTCATTTAATGGGGGAAGTATACTATAATTTGAAATTTAATTAAAATGAAACTTTAGAACAAATTAAAAACCTACTTGAAATTTTCAGACAATGATTGTAAAATATGTAATGATGATCATTAAATAATAACAATACTTGATTATATAAGTCATTTTTTTTCTACAATTAAAGCCCATAATGATTATTGGTCATTTGTTACCTGTAACTAAGGAATGTTAACTAGACCTAACAATATCGTATAATTAATAATTTCATTATCAAAAGAGAGAATTTCCTAAAAGAGGTAAGAATAATCCAAGCGAAAGAAGGAATGAATTTCAAAATTCAATACAATACAATGCAATGTAATAAAGAAATTACATACCGGTAGTAACGACAATCCGTTATTCCATTCCATTCCATTTGGTTTGGTTTCTTTCTTGGAATATCACCTGTATTTAAACTTTCATTTTATTCTTCATACATATGATTTCAAATTATATAACATATTTAGAATGTTTTATTTGTTCAATTACAAGCGAAGTAAAGAATATCATTTATATGTTAGATGGTTTCATCAACTTTTAGGTGTTTTTTGTTCATCTCTAATCGTTGATTCTCAAATATTACCACCCCACTCCTATTCATTCATCAATACTAATAATAAGCTTGATGGTCTAATTTGTTTCATTTATTTCCTTTTTTGGCGGGCACCGCGGTAACCAAATTGGAAAACCCGCCTCAGACGGACCTGGGACTTTTTCTTTTGCGGCGACAGTGGCCGCTTTATTGTCATTTTCATTGTTTTTTCACACCCATTATAGTTATAGCACAAGTACTTTCACCATCCTTGTTATCTTTGTTAAATAATAAAAACACCAAACTGGGTTTAATCCCCAATCTGTAACCATGTTACCCTTGATTTTACTCTTATTACTCTTCTTTGGCTAAGATATATGTTTCTTGTTTACTACTGGTCAAATTGTCGTTAGGTTTTAGAGTTAAACGGTGATGCATTGAATCGTTCGATTTTTTGTTTTTAATTTACTTACTGCTTGAATACTTTTTGAATAAGGGTACCATTCTATTATTGTATCATTCTATCGTTTTATTTAAAAAGTACTATAATCTAATAGTAGGGATTAAAAATGGCGTTATTTTTGTTACATCAATGTTACTACTCCCTTGTTCTTCCCTAGATCATTTTACCCCTCTGAATTCTATAGAGAAATAGGAGTCTGGGGGTTCATAATTGATATAAAAGTTTAATGTACGCTAATCGTTTCTTTTAATTGCGTGTTTCAATTCGGTTAGGTTCGGTTAGTTTTCTTTTATTTTATTATTATATGTATTGAAATTCTGAGGGCCCATAACGAAAGACTTGATTAAAACCAGGTACATGTTATTTCATGTATAGAAGTATGTTTTCTATATATAATAATCATTACTGTTGTTAAGTATAACTAACGTCTTTTAATAATACAAAACTTGGTTATTGAGTTTAATAATGACTGAAATTTCAATTTCTATTGCTAATTGTAAAATGCAAAGACCAAAACAATCATAAATTTCTGTTTATAGGGAGTGCTATAAATTTGTTGTTACATAAGACATTGTCTGCGAATATCAAGAGAGTAAAACTTTAAGATACTATACAGATTGACTTAGTATACGTTTGTATTATTTTCTTTCTTTCTTGTTATCAACAAAGTACAGGTGCTTACCGTGTTGGAAAATAAGTAACACCAAGTGTTGATACTATTAAAATTAGGTAATTCAACATAAGAACAAACCCACCGGGATAGTTTCTAATTCCATCCACAAAAAACTATCTGATTCTCATAAATCTAATAACCCCACCCCATGTCTCAGATTTCAGTTGTAAATATGTTAAAGCCGATATGCGGTGCAGTAATGCTTAAACCTCATAAGAACAACAGTAACAGTAACAACAGCAAAGTAGAACAATATAATGGGCATTAAATGTTTCAAACCATTCAAAATTCAACAATAGATCTTTATCCGATCTCTCTCCTACACATCAGGCAAAAAAAAAAGCTAAAATAATTAAACTTTAAATCATGTATATGATATCCTTTAATCTTACTTCCGTAACGACGTAATTTACTTACATATCCACCACACTAGCCTTGTGGTTTACTGAATTAACTTCAATGGTACATAACCTAAAACAAAACTGAACGAATTACTATCAACAACTTTTGTTCAACTTTCCTCAGGGCGGAATGTCAATAATTTCAAACTAAATTTCACCAACACCTTAAAGTTAGCTCATTGATCAAAATCGACAGAGTTAACCATCATGTACAAGCAAGTTTAATAACATTACATATGTATAAAATAAAAAAAAAGGGTTGGTTTCAACTCAACATCCTTATAAAAGAAACATAACGTTAAAAATCGTTAATTCATGTAAATGAGCTGTTTTAATGTAGGGGATCATTCAATGTCTAATTATTTTGTTTCTATAACCATTGGTGTAAGCTTTTTCTTTCTGAAACATGGGTAGTTTCGGGAATGAATAAGGTTTTGAATAAAGTTATCTATAAAAAAAACCCAAGTCGAACCTTGAACAAAACCAAAACCACAAAGTAAATAAATAAATAAAAGGAACATTAAGTTTGTAACCTTACAGTACCGTGTGGATGTTTTTGTTTTATATCAAAATGTTAATATGTTAATTCAATTTTTAGATGACCAAAACAATCACCAAAATATTAAAACTTTAGTTAAAGTAAGTGTACATTCATCTATATCTTTTATGCATATGTACTGTTTTTTGAGGATGTACTAATCATGTGCTCAATACAACAATTTTTGGGTGCAAAAGTATTACAATCGTGGTACGCAAAAACCAAAAACTAAAAACTAGAAGCAAAAAGAATTAAGTTACAACAATAATTATGAGTCTGTACAAATTAAATAAAACTCTGAAAGAAATGCATATATGATCAAAGTTTAGACTATAGTATATGTCGAGAGAGAATGGAATACGTAATATGAGCTCAACCACCTTCTCCTCTTTATTGTAACCTAATGTAAATAACAAAACCCAATAATACTTGGAGTAAACCACCTTAAAATGACCGTTCAGCTTTGTATTCTTCTCCTCCTATTATTAATAAATACCCTTCTATTCTTCCCTAGACAAAGTTATGGTGACAAACATCCAATTAACTTATGATATCGTTCCATCATGAAGTATTGTAAAAAATTATGCAATACTTGCAATGAAATGGATAATAACCTAAATTATGATCCAGGCAATTCACGTAACCATAGTTCAATAATGTACGAATAATTCAATTGATTTTACTCATTATTATGGCGATGGTGATTTCATTTCTCTTATTTGTATTTTATTTTATTTTGAAATCTGTATCTCTATTACCTAAACTCGAATACCCAATTTTAAGAGAGGGATGATCATTTACGTTATGAGAGGTTAGTATTATTTGAAAATCGCTTCATATTTCATATTTCATCCCTTTATTTCAAACGGATTTCCGTTAAGTAAATTGTAGTAATTGTTATACTTTCCTGGTTGTATGATTACTACAACATCAACGTTACATCAAAATGCAAAACTTAGCCAACAGTTGTAGAAATGCAAAAAATTGATATATATAGTTTATACCCTGGCCACTGTTAATAACTACATGCTCTGCATATATGTACTCAAATAATACATGTATTGAATCAAAAATAGTAATACTCGAGTATCGATTATCAGCCTTTACATCCTATCAATATAAATCCCCCTCCCTTTGCTTGTCATCAATGATGGTTAAATGTGTGTTGATTGTGTGTACCATGAAATCGACGATATACGATATGCGATATGCGATAAGCTGAGAAAAGAAAACGGAAATTGTACTAACAAATTATATATATATGAGAGATATAATACTGATTGTTATTCCATTCTTTTCCATTCCATTATATCAATTGGATATCGTTTAGACAAAGCTGAAATACTGGTTAGATTCCTTACCATTGCCATCAACATCATTAACATTAACATCAACATCATTATCTGTTGATACTGTTTACTATTTTCGTTTCAGAATGTCGTGCATCAACCAATTTATTATCAGTAACAAACAAAAAATTTTCCTTTGCTTTTTTTTTTTCTAGTCAACGAAACTTTTTCATCATCATCATCATCATTATTATTCATACCAACATAGTTATCAGTAAACCTCCAGCATCATTTGATAATCATTTTAGCACCGCCTAGGGAAACAAGGTAATAATAAAAAAGAGAGCTCCTTAACAAATAGAAAATAGGAGATATATATCTATAGTACAACAACAATAACACCAATCATATCAGGCTAATTATTCCAGTCACTTACATCTTTCTGTTTTTTTTTTTTTTTCTTATTTAATTTCAAACCAAGTGGTATTAAATATTCTATATTTCCATAAATTATAAATAACTATGCTGGTAAAAGCTCGTAAATTGGCAGTTGTTGGATCCCGATCAGTTGGAAAATCATCCATGACAGTTCGATTTGTTGAAGATCATTTTGTTGAATCCTATTATCCAACTATTGAAAATCAATTTAGTAAACAAATAAGACTTAATAATCAAGATTATAATATTGAAATATTAGATACTGCAGGTCAAGATGAATTTAGTTTATTAAATGAAAAACATTTAATTGGTATTCATGGTTATATATTGATTTATTCTGTTACTTCAAGACAATCATTTGAAATTATTGAAATTATTAGAGATAAAATTTTAAATTCCATTGGTACAAATAATACTCAATTACCAATGATTCTTATTGGTAATAAATGTGATTTAAATTATCAAAGACAAGTGGAATTTAATGAAGGTCAAGAATTGGCTAAAAGTTTTAATTGCAAATTTTTAGAAACTTCAGTAAGAGAAAATATTAATGTTGATAAATGTTTTGAAACTATAATTGAAGAAATTGAAAAAATTCAAAACCCACCCGTTGAAAAACAACAAGATAAATGTATAATTATGTGAAAACATTTTTCTTTTTTGTTTATTTGTTTGTTTGTTTATCATTGTCCTTATCATCATTATCACCTGCTTTACTTCATATTTATAATGTCATTTCTTTTTCTATAAATCTTTAATTCATTTCATCAGTTTACCTACATTTTTGATTTTTTGTTTGCTTTTTTAATCAGGGTTTTTCTTTTTATCATTATTATTGTTTATGTCTTGCTTATTTGCATTTTGTTGTTATTGTGTGATATCAGGGTTTGACTATATTTTCTTTTATACTAATTCCAATCGATGTTTTGTTATATAATAATTATTACTATTTAAGTGCAATAGATTAATTTAGAAACGATTATTCATTTTGCAAGCAAATACAATCATAATCACAATTTCAATCACACTATTTATTTCTGTATACTCACACGCATACACCTATCTAAACTATAAACTGTAAATTAACATCTATTGGATGAGAAGATGATAATTGAGGCTTTTGACTATATTTAGATTGTAAAATATCTCTCATATTTTGCAATAAACTCAAGTATGATTGGTTTGGATTTTGACCCATAACCGTCAAGAATGCATAACTCATTGCACCAGTAGCAACACCACCTTCTTTAGAATCAGCACTGGTTTGATCATCTTTACATCCACTCATTGAAATAACATCCGCTGGTGAAGTCTTGGTTTGTTTAGTATATTCACTTGCTTTTTCTGCTCTGCCTTTATTCATAAATGATTTAACAGCACTACCAAGTCCAGTGAACATGGCTGATTTATTACCTGATGCATAAGCAATAGCACTTTGTAATAACCCTTCACCACATTCCTTCATTACATTAGGTTCTTTCAAAACCCCTTTAGTAGAGTACATATATGGTAAATCCAAAACAGAACCAGAGTGACATGAATCAAATAATGCAGTTAATCTACAACCTTGAGGTAAAGTTTTAACCATCATTGAATGTAACAAATCATCAACAATAAATCCATTGGTTTCAAAATCCAATGGATAAATAACTTCATCAAATCCATCATCTTCATCATATTGTCCGTTTTCATCTGGTTGATCTTCAGTTTGTCCACCATGTCCAGAATAATGGAAAAACAAACTATCATTAGGCTTAGCATCTTTAACTAACCATTGAATTGCATCAAGAATATTTTGTCTTGTTGGAATTGCTCTTTGAACCCTTTGATCATCAGTTAATTTGACAATATTATCAGAAGAAAATCCACTATTCAATAAAAATTTCTCCACATTATTGACATCATTAATTGGTCCTCTCAATTCATTTTTAGTTCCAAAATAATTGATACCAACTAATAAAGCCTTCTTACGTCCTGAACACAGTGAATAAGAATAATTGTAATTATCAACTCCAAATGATTGAGTTTGTTGTGGTGGACGTGAGTAATGACCGCTTCCATGTTGATGTCCATAATCTTGTTGTTCATCAGTGTATTGGTTTCCTCTGGTAGTACCAGAAGATTGTGAAGTTGAGTTAGATTGCCCATTGTACAGACCCTGTCCTTGAGGAGGGCCAGATGGTCTGCTGTATTGACCTTGGCTAGATCCTGATTGTCCACTGTACAGACCCTGTCCTGGAGGAGGACCAGATGGTCTACTGTATTGACCTTGACTTGATCCATATTGACCTTGGTTAGAACCATATTGACCTGGAGGTGGACCAGATGGTCTATTGTACTGATCTTGATTAGATCCGTATTGATCTGGAGGAGGGCCAGAAGGTCTGTTGTATTGACCTTGATTGGATTGTTGACCTCCGTAAGTATGTCTGCCTTGTCCTGGAAACATGTCTAAGTTGAGTAATATTTGAATTAAAGTATACTTGTCGTACTAGTAAAAAGAAAAGCAAGAAAACGTGATAATTCACAATCAGGTAATTTGTCCTGTTGACTTTGCCTCGTAGGCTGAATTTTTTTTTTCTTTTCTGTTCCTTTGGTTTTGAGATTGGATGGAATTGATCACATTCACACGACTAATAAAGAGTTTTGGGTCGATTCAAGAATTTCATCATTTGCAAATCATGGTGATCCTAAGCCACTTGAATGCATCAAATTCAGAAGATAGATTGGTAAATAAGACAGCTCTGCGACACATCAAACAACCTTTGTAGTATCAATTGACCACTAGTGACAGTCACCACACTATGGACAAATTGGGACCACCACTGAACTGATAAGGTTCAAAGAAGATTCAATGACGTCATAGCATTATTCTTTTGAGTTAGACGGAAAGAAAGAGAATAAACTCTATTGATATATATCGTCAACTATCAATAGCAGGGGAATAGTGGTTTTAACTTGTTCCATTTCAACCATTCCGATCGTGTAGTGGTTCATATAAATGTGTACAGAATTTTCATTGTATTAAAACCACCACGTTTCTTTTCAACACCATATTCACTAATTTTTGTTCGTCAGTAAACGGCAGAACTTAAAGACACAGAAACAAACAATAAAAAAATAAAAGCTGCAAATTGTCTTTGTTAAAAAAAATAAATAAAAAGAATTAAATCAAATGTAAAAAATACACAGCCCTACGTATATCATGTAAAAAAAAGGGCACAGTATAATCTACAGATTGGCTAGACTTTACATGAATGCAAAATGTACAGTTGATCACCGGGATGCAATATTCAATGATCGTTGATCGTTGATCGTTGAAATGATTAATTAATCAAGTACAAAGTTTCATTATAAAAAGATAATTTTAGTTCTGTTTTCAATTTGCGTAGTATTTCAGTGTCAAAATATAAGAGTATGTACACTCTTATGCAATGCAAGTTTAATAGTTTTTATTCACCACTTCTCCCGATTATCAAAACCATGATTGACTTTCTGTTTCCAAATCCATTCATGAAAACAAACAATGGAAACAATAGACAACTAGTATTCAATACTCTTTGCATCAAGTAGAGTTTCTTGTTCAAGTTGTTAATTACTCCTGTGGATGAGGCATTGCTTAAACAGAAGTGAGCTCAAAAATAGCCTTCAATTCAAGGCGTTGAATACAGCTTTTAGAATTTCTTTTTATTCCTTCATTCATTCATTGTTTGAATGAGATGAATTGAAATTCAAATCAAATGTGTCAAAAGCAACTTCCATCTCATTGTTCTTTCTCATTTATATCATAGCGAGCATTATAGTATCAATACAATGATGTACTGTAAGTTCACCAGTTCTTCGGATATTTATTTAACCGAACGCTTCATTGGGTCTGTAGATATGAAAACGCCGTACTGAATCTAGACTTGAACTGAATTATTATTGATATTGTTTCAAAATCGGTGATTCACTCATTCATTATTCCCGAGTTTATTATAGCTTTTTTTTCGCTCTTGTTGTTGCACACATGGTAGCGAGGGTTAGGGCTACAGCCCTAATAGTTTTAGCAACGCACGACTTTTTTATTACAGGAGTTTTTTTTTTTCTTGTTTCTTTCTCGGTCGCAACATTCTCACTCTCACGCATTCACACAATTCTACCAGAGTATAAGTGAAAAAATATTATAAAGATAATTTTCAAAGAAACTTTTCCTACTTCTTTTACTTCTTCACCACTAATTATTAGCAAATAGATAGACAAAAATGCCAGGTGTATCAGTTAGGTATGTTCATGACTATAACTACTTTGGTGTTTTATTCTTGTCTATTGCGAAATAATTCAAAATGAAGATATGAATGATATTATCATTATATTACTACTGTCGTGGTGGATGGGAAGGGTGGATCTTTAAGATTTCAGCCCTTATATATTAAAATAAATTTACAAGATTCATTGAATGCTTTGCATTGATGTGATATATGAAACTAATTCATCTATCATTGATTGTGTATTCTTCGATATGTTCTTTTTATTTTAATATTTCCCAATAATCCATTAAGCATCGACGTAAAAAAAAGTAGTAATTGATTATCTTTCATACTCTTCTGAATTATTCGCAATGACCAATCAATATCATCAATTCATTAAATGAATAAAAAGTTCTTTTTTTTCATACTAACTATTCCTGTTCAAATAGAGACGTTCCAGCTCAAGATTTCATTAACGCTTATGCTCAATTCTTGCAAAGACAAGGTAAATTGGAAGTTCCAGGTTACGTTGATTTAGTTAAAACTTCTGCTGGTAATGATTTACCACCACAAGAATCTGAAACTTGGTTCTACAAAAGAGCTGCTTCTATTGCTAGACACATTTACTTGAGAAAACAAGTTGGTGTTGGTGCTTTGAACAAATTGTACGGTGGTGCTCAAAACAGAGGTTTCAGACCACACAAACACGTTGATGCTTCCGGTTCTATCAACAGAAAATGTGTCCAAGCTTTACAAAAAATTGGTGTTTTGGAAATCTCTCCAAAAGGTGGTAGAAGAATCTCTGAAAACGGTCAAAGAGATTTGGATCGTATTGCTGCCCAAACCTTGGAAGAAGATGACGAATAAATTATTTAATGTCAAAGTTAATTTAATTTTATAATCATTATCATTTCATAATCAAGGATTTGTACATGTATATACATACACACATATCTTTTATTAATTTTCTTTTCAATTTTGTAATATAGTTTCACTTAATATATTTTTTTACGGGGATATTATTACTTTATTACTATAACAATCATTAATTTATATATATATATATATAACTCTCTCCTATTTGTACGTATCAAACTATATCAAGGACTTTTTCAACTATTTCTAATCCCATTTGTTTTTTGACTAGGGTGTTAGCATTCATTGGCAAATAAATCCATGATAATGGTGTTTCATATGGCAAATTATTAATCCAACTTTCAATATCATCTTGAGAATCAGGCAACAACAATTTTTCATTATTCTCTAAGGTAAATTTATTTGCAACTAAATTGAAATCAGAATTAAATGATTTTTCGGTGAAAATATCTTCTGCCAACTTCTTCATGAATTCCAAATCTTTATGGTTATCTACTTTACCTCCATATGTAATGGTTCCAATAAGATACCTAATCTCTTTCCATGGAATTGACTCAGGTTTACCATCATAATTTGCAAATATTTTCTCAATTAAAGATACACCGCATGTAAAATCAGAATCATTAAAATCATACTTCTTCTTGTATGAAACAGGAACATATCTCAATCTTTCAACAAGAACTGAATGATACCAGATCAATAATAAAAGAACGTGTTTCTGTAATTTATCTTTGTTCAGCATGCAAATCAATTTATATGTCTCCCAAACTATTTGCTTAATTCCAACTTCATTCTCAAAATTCAAAACTTTGCACCTCGATATCAAACCAATTGGAACTTTAGAATTATTCTTACATGTTAAAAACACTCTTGTTCCTGAATGCAAATTTGATAGTTTATTTTCAAGTTGTGATAACCAAGCTGGCGACATTTGGATATTTTGAATTAAAATCCATTTCTCTGAAGTAGCAGCCTTTTCAAGCTCTTTATTAGCAACTTGAACACCTTCTTTTGAACCCATCGAAACAATTGACAATGGTTTTTGTTTTTGACTAGAAATTTGTTCAACTTTATATGAGGCATCAAACACATCTGGACATGTCAAAATAACAACATTAACTCCATATTCATTTATCCAATATGGTAAGTCATAAGATGAAGTATATGGAGTAGAATCCTTTTCAAACAAAACAGAAGTAATCTGACTAAAAGAATCAACAAACTCTGATTTTTGTGCCACATCACCCGTGGCTAATAACAACATTAACTTTGAAAGTATTTGTAAAGTCAGATTATCTTGATTCAATTCTATAATATTTTCCATATTCCAACCATCTTCTTTACGTGCCAAACACATATCAAGGATTTGTCCAACAGATTTTTCAAAGTCAACATCGGCAATAATTGTTTCCAACATTCTAATGAATGCTGATTTAAATATATCTCCAATGCTTTCCACATAATATGCTGCGGTTAACACTAATGCCAATACTATCTTATCTTGATATTGTAATGAGCTAGCAACTCTTGCAAATGAATCTTTGTATAAATTCACAATCAAGTCAGTAGGGTTAGAATCAAGATTTCTTCTCAATAATTCGGAAAAATTCTTAATAACTCTGGATAACGAGAAGTTGTAGAAATGATTAATTCCCCCAAGCGATTCAAAAATAGAATAAATGGTTGATAAACCACGAGCAACATCTTGATACTTGGCTCTAGTTTCTTCCACATGATTCATTACTTCAACCGAATGTGCAAGCTTCTCGTTTAATCCATCTGTTTCTATCTTTAAAGTTTCTAAGGTCTCCATAACACTATCATTATCCAATAGTTCACCAGCAGTTGTTCCAAGTGAATTCAACAATTCTTCTTCCAAGGCTTGTAAACGTAATTTCCATTCACCATTAAGAATTACCAATTCAGCTCTCTGTTGCTCTACATCGGGTCTTACCTCTTGCAAGGCAATATCCAATGCTCTATTTTCAAGACTTCCACTAGTAACTGTAAAATTAACAACCGTGGTTCTTGAAGATACTGATGGTGGCAACACCAATTGTGATTCTTTAGAACAAAGAACCAACTTAAAATCAGACGAATAATCAACAATTTGGTCGCCTAATTTGATCATAGTTCTACCACCGTTTCTGTGAACTTCCTTTCTTAAAATATTATCAACAATAGGATCATAATATTCACAATCTTGAATTATCATCAACCCACCAAATCGTAATGCATTCTCTAATTGATTAAGTAAACCATCATTTAAGAAACTGGTCACAGTGACAGATTTACTGGCTGTCGATTTGGCTACTATATCAACAATTGTTGCACTTGGATCAATAATCACCGGATTGTCACTCCATTTCAATAATGCAAAGTTTTCAATATTTAAATTATCATTAATCAATCCTGAATTGACCCAGTGAAGAATCTCTTTTGAACTTGCCAAATAATTACCAATGGTAAGTGCTTCATCATAAGGAATACCCGCATCCTGTAATTTATTCTTCCAGTTACGTAACAACAATTCTCTACCTTTTTGATCATAAAGTCCCGCATAAACAATGAAACCAGCAACCAAAACACTTTCGCCTACTAATTTATCACGCTTAGCACTAAAGGTACTTACCGATTCCTTCCACCTCTCACGTTCTTTGGTAAGATTCTTAATCAATGCCATACTTCTATCAACTTTTTTGTGCACCGAGGCCATTTCTCTCTTGATATTTTCAGTCTCTCTAATCAATTCACTGTAACTCTCTTTATATTTCTCAATACTTTCTTCTAATTCAAAAATCATTTGATCAACTGCTATCAATTGGGCTTTTGTCTTTAAAGTTTGTTGTTCCAAATGTTGAACTTCTTCACGTAATGGTCCAACACTTTGTAAAATTCTCGCATAAGCCAATTGTGCCTGAACCCATTGAAGCAATGGGCCACATGCTTTACTTGCTCTATGGACAAGTTCAAAAGTATAGTCTTCTCTAGCCAAGTATACCTTCTCCATGTATTCACGTAATTCCACTGACAATTGATCTTCACCATTGAAGGAGACAATATTTGGAATAAAATCATCTTTTCTAATAACTAACTGAACATCTCTCCAACTTGACACATTATATCCAAGCAAAATACAAACCGATTCCATTGTCATCTTAACAGCGGCAGGTGGATTAGCCATACTTCTGATTTCCGACAAGTGTTGCTTTTTAATATTTTGAACCCCTCTCTGTGCTTCAAGAACTGCAGGCTCCGCATACTCAAGATCTTTCATTACAATTTCTTTTCTTCGTTGTATTTCAGCTTCTTGCTTCTCAAGTTCGGCCTGAGCATCAATTGAAAATTCTTGTTTTCTCTCTGCTTCATTTTGATCTGTAAGCAACTTATTCAACATTTGTTTAGCCTCCTTATCTTTCACTTTTAATGTTTCTTCCTTTTGTGCAAGTTCGTTTTTTAATTTATCAACTTGAATAACGGTCTCACGTAATTTATCTAAACCAACAGTAATGTGTCGTTGATTATCCTCAAGTTCTTGTTGTTTCTTTGTGAAAAGCTTGGAAAATATATGGACGAGATTCAAGTAATCATTTGGAGTTCTTTCATAACACAATGTAGATCTGTAATCTGGAACGAACCGATGAATGTAGCTCAATACATCAGCTATAATATCTCTCAAGTTTGTAGCTCGTTTTGGCAAGTATGGAGTAAAAGAATTTGGTACCGCATAATTAGAAATATCCACGGGAAGAACTCCAATACGAGCTGATGCAACTTCATATAAACATTTATTGGACCAATCTCCCATCCAACTTAAAACACATCTGTTGAATAATGCAGGTGACGAAATAACCGATTGACTATTACTTTCGGTCGAATCACTAATACTGAACACCACGTGTAAGTTTTGTGATATTTGCTGGGCAAACCAATTGTACAACTCAGCTTCAGTATCTAATAGTAACCCTTGAGAATGGGAAATTTCCAAACAGTTATTCATTAAAGCCGTGTAGTCGTCTCCTTCAAAAAGACCCGGAATCTCTGCATTTGCCAACAATGTATTCATTCTTTCAATAAAAGATGCTTCCAAAATACTCGACTCGTCAATTATGAAACAAATTCTTTCACCATTAACACAGCGAGTTAAAATTTGCCTCAACGTGGAATCAAAATTTTCAATTGTATAATTGGTTCTGACATTCAAGAAGACAACTTTTAAACCATTGATCCAGGCAACAAATTTAGACAAAGTAGATTTACCGCTACCACTAGGACCAACTAATATCATATGACCTTGTGGTTGTCTGAGTACTCTATCAATTCGTAAAGCATGATCCAACATCTCATCATGTAATACCAAATCAACTTCCATTTCTTCTTCACTAAATACTCTTAATCTTTGTGACACAAACGATCTGAGTTCCTTTTCACCAACAGATTTATAATTCAAACTCATCCAATTACTGAAGAATACCGGCTCTTTAAAGCAAGAGATCAAATCGACATTTGGGAAAAACTCTTGTGCGACTTCAGCAAATAATTCAAGAGTCCAACGCTTCTCATCTTCAGATACCAATCTATCATAAAACAATCGTAAACCTTCGTGATACCATAAACGAACAAATGAATGTAAATCCTTATATTCAGAAGACTTCAACGCTTCAAGTAAACCTCTACTCCATCTTGTTAATTCACGAGGTGAGTAAACGTAATGTTTTTGAATCAGTGAATTGAATCTTTCTTTAGTTTTCTCATACACTTGAATACTAGCATCTGTGATTGCTTTGGCATAGCCACGTAAATCAGGTGCACATTTCAAAATGGCCAAGTTGAAAGTCTGATATATTTGAAGCATCGATGTATGACCAGGATAATCAACCATAATAACAGGTACATGACGTAAAAATCTGTCAGATAATCTGTTTCTACCTGGATCTTTTGGTGAATTACAGGCACCAACAAATTGAATATTCTCTAATGTAACCCATTGATTATCTTTGACCCTCCAGAAACCATTATGTTCAATCATTTGTCGGATTAACGAAATGACGTTTTGGTTTCCATACTTATCAACTTGCGGTAAATTAATTTCATCACAAAAAACTACAACCCATTTACCATTGATTCTTGGAGTAAGTTGTACACCACGATTTGTCTTTCTGTATTCACAATATTGATCTAATGACTTCAATAACGATAACGGAGATGTCTCTTTGGAAAAATTCAATGATAATAATTCTAATTGAGGCGATTTTCTTAATGCTTCAAACAACGTCATAGTTTTACCAGAACCAGGTGGTCCACAAAGTAACAACGGACTATGCTCATTCAATATGGAGTACACGAGATTTTCGTGCTTAACCGTATCAAGTGTTGGAACAATAGTATTTGGGTTTGATACTTGGTGAGGTTCAAGTTCAACTCCGGAAACTTTATTATTCCATTCAAGCCATTCACAATCTGGTAAAGAAATAAAATGATCAAATATACTTCCACTAGGAACATCCACGTCTGGTACAATATTGGCATTGATAATGGCTTTTTCAAAGTTGATTCTGCTATCATGTGGAGAATCACCAGCAAATGTCAACATAATCGACAGTAACACCGATTTAATTGCATAATTTTTGACATCAATATCAAATACCTCTTTATCGCTAGCAAAGTCAAGCAATCGACGTAAATATGTTTTCAATGTTATTTCAAACGACCTAATTGCGCGGGGCATGAAAAAATCCATTATATGTTCAAAACGTTGGGCAACTTTACATACACTTGAAAGCAATTCAGATGAAA